CCCCCCCCCCCCCCCCCCCCAGGATCACTGAACAACTGGTCCATCAGAACCCCAGAAACAATTGGATTAAAGTTTGCTGGCTCATGTTTCTAAATCAGAAGTTAATATTTTCGAAGATTATTTTTTAAATTTTATGTTTTTCCATCATGTTTTCATTACGGAGTTAAACAAAGACAAAACGTGACGACCGAGCTCTGAGTGTGTGTTGGTGACGACTCTCCGCTACTACCACATCCTGCTCAGTTCGAGTCAAACGGACTTTCACACGTGAACACCTGTAGCTCTGAATCAAAAACAGAATCTGATGTCATTTATTATTTTCATAAATTTAGAGTTCTGTGATGTTTTCATGAAATATTTTGCTAACAGGCATGAATGTTCAGCCACCTCCATCATTTGAGGAAAGTTGAAGCTCAATAAAAATTTCAAATGATCGATTCATAGGTGGTTGTTTACATTGACACGTGTGGCGGCCATCTTGGATTTAAACAAGGCGGCCCAGTTTTGTTGATCTTTCTGATGCCTCGATGCAGACACACACCAAGATGGACGTCGGTACTTATTGTTCAAGTTGTGCTCACAACGTGCACAGATGAAGGTTTTAATAATTCGCTCAGCGCTGGAGGACCATGGCACAAAGAGAAGAGGTTTGATGAAGATGTTAATCGTCAGTTTATTGTTGTTGTTATAAAAAGTGTTGTGTAAACTCCCAACAGTTCCATCTTGAACAAAGTTTCTCTGAGTCAACAGTTTGGACACAGACTGTCAGTTGCCAGGCTGCCTCAATGAACCTTTGGTCACTCTGACCTCCTCTGGTTGGAGCTGGAAGTGCAGGTTCACACATGTTGGGTTCTTCCGGTACACAAAGAAGGCTTGTATCCATGGATACACTAAAGAACAACATGTGAGTGAAAACACAACAAACACACAAAGCCGGCCGGAGCATGGGAGCGCAGCCGTCACAACTTCTTCTGAACATTAGAATTAAAACTGTCGCAATAAAACGGTCTGTGATGTCACACTGCTCCACTGCACCACCCTGAAGAAGCAGCAGCTGCACACATCTGGAGGAGGCTGACACACACACACACACACACACACACACACACACACACACACACACACACACACACACTATAAGTAGCACTTTATCGCTGTAATCTGTAGAAAAATAAACATTTAAAAACTTAAAGATTGTGAAATGAACTCTAAACGTTTTGTTTCCTCATTTCAATGAAATCAGACTCAGCTGAGATTTACCCTGACATCCCATAATATTATTAATGTTATTAAATTCCTCCTCTTGAATGATCCTAGGAGCTCTGCTGTCGGGGCGATGGTCCCTGGTAGGGTGTCCAAGGCAGACGGGCTCTAGGTGACAGGCCAGACAGAGAGATTCCAAAGACTTATGGACAGAAACAGCAAGGAACTCCATGTCCCTTCCCCACCAAAGAGGTCACGTTCCATGTCCCAAGAGCAGCTTTGGTAAGTCGGGGTCAATGTGCCAACACCCCTGCCTTCAGCCACTGCCCATGGCATCATGCACCCGACTCATATGGCACCTCCTGCAGGTGGTGGGTCCACAGGAAGGCAGCCCCATGTTGCTTATTCGGGCTGAGCCCGACCGGGCCACATGGGTAGAGACCGGGTTATCAGGTTCTCGCCGACGAGCCCCTCCCCCATGCCTGGCTCCAGGGTGGGGCCCTGGCAACTCACGTCTGGTGAAGGGAGATTGAACTTGTGTGTGAGGTTGAGAGGCACCGACTAGATCTAGTTGGGCTCCCCTCGATGCACAGCATGGACTCTGGAACAGATCTCCTTCAGAGGGGCTGGATCTTATTCCACTCTGGAGTTACCCACAGTGATAGGCACCAAGTTGGTGTGAGTCTACTTGTAGCCCCCCCCCCCCCCATCCCCCGCCCACGTGCCTGTGGGTTGGAGGTTTCCCCGGTAGATGAGAGGGTGGCTTCCCTGTGCCTTCAGGTGGGGGGATGAGCTCTGAATGTTGTATGTGCCTGTGTGCCACATGGCAGTTCAGAGTATCCGGCCTTCTTGAAGTCAACTGGTGAAGATTCTTCTTGGAGTCCTTGGCAGGGGTGCTGGAAGGTGAACCAACTGGGGACTCCTTTATTCTACTGGGGAACTTCAATGCCCACATGGGTAATGACAGTGTGACATGGAGGGGCGTGATTGGGAAGAACGGCCTCTCTGAAACCAGGAGAGAAAATGGCGCTCTACTAATGTTGAAGAATTTTATTTAACTTGGAAAGATAGTCTGCTAACATATAAAAAAGCTCTCCGTAAAGCTAGAACTTTATATTACTTATCTTTGATAGAGGAGAATAAAAATAACCCTAGGTTTCTGTTTAGTACTATTGCTAGACTAATTAAAAGTCCCATCTCTGTTGAACCATGTATCCCTACAACTATAAGTAGTGATGACTTCATGAGATTCTTTATAAATAAAATTATTTCTATTAGAGAGAAAATTCAAACCATCCTTCCTTCTACTATCTCTAGTCCCCTGTCAAATGAGACAACTTTAAACATTTCACTAGAGCCTGATTTATGTTTGGACAGTTTTTGTCCTGTTGAGCTCTGAATTGTCAAAAATAATAACCTCATCCAAACCATCCACATGCCTGCTAGATCCCATCCCAACCAGACTGTTTAAAGAGCTATTTCCCCTAATTAATGTCCACATTTTGGATCTACTTAATTTGTCTTTAATGGATGGTTATGTACCACAG